TGACATGACTGAAGCCATGGCAGACATCGTCACAGCAGCCTTGTGAGAGATCATGTGCCACAGGAGCAGGCTAAGCTATGCTAGGAAGCCTGACCCACAGAAACTATGAGATAATGAATGTTTGTTGTCTTAAACTGCTAAGATTTGGTGTCATTTTTTATGCAAAATTACATAACTAATTCAGTTAAGTACCTGGTATATTACATTAAAACTTAGTCCCCAGAGGAGCTTTCACTTTTAAATAAGGAGGATAACATTAAAAATCTGTGAAATCCTTTGTTCTGTTTGATTGCATGTTAAAAATTACTTCCTTACCTAGGGCAGTTTGAAACAAGATGTAAAGAATGCTATATCTTCTTCTTTTTCAGAACAACAATAAAATATACACTATATTCAAAGGAAATTCCTCAATCACCCATTAAATATACAAGAGCCCTTCTACTGCATTTTTGTTTTATTTCCCATTAGCATGCTTCCCAAGCATTAATAGAAAAACATAATTTTAAACATAAAATAGGACAAAAATAAATGCCAAGTTTTGCCTCATGGCTCTCTGAGGTGTGTCTGCATTTTAACTCTACAATACAAGGAGGCTTTCCCCTCAAGTTTTTGCTAATGGAGTGAAAGAGAGAAAGATGATGTTTCTAGATAAAGAAGTAAAAGGCTATTTTTAAGGCACAGAAGGGGAAATAAAAATCAAATAGAATCTAAGACTGTTTGCGCAACTGGGATTTGTCTGGTTCCTCATTCTGTTTGAATCTCCTCCCTCCCTGGGCTCCCTTGCCTATACAAACGTGGCCCATTTGCTATACAGATATTTCCTTTGCTAATGTTCCCCATATGCACGATCAACTTCACACCTTCTCACACTCATTTTCCCTCTTTGGCTTGTGCTCTGTTTGCCTGCCATATGTAACTACACTTGCAGCACTTCCAAACCCAATTTAAAGTTTCAAATGTATCTTTCCCCACACTTCGTATTTTTATACCTTTGGAACTTGGCAAAACTTTTCTTCATCAAAATCTGACTGATCTTCTCTTTTTTTCTTCAGCTAGTTAATTTCAAAGACGCACTACCTTTTCCTTTTTTTTTTTGCTTTGTTTTGGCTGAACTCTGAGTTCAAAAATGTAACAGTGTGTATGTGAAAAATCCCTTTCTGCACCACAAGGGAAATCCTGATAGACAGGTGGTGTCTTCATGGGATAACTGAGTAGTTCAGAAGGTTTTTTCTCATTTATTTTTTTCAGCTGACTTTTTCTGTGTGTAATCTCCCAGGCTCAGGAAAGATCCTGTAGCAAGTGGCAGTTTCCCACTATAGGAATGAACATATGCCACACGAGAGCTATGATGATTTAATTTGTAATTCATAAAACTACCTGGAGAGATTGCCCCAAAACTAAAATTGCACTTCCTAATGTAAGTGAGACATGTCTATGAAAACAGGCAAGCTATGCCACAAAAATTTATATTGTCCTTTCTGTCCCACGCTGGGACAAAAGCTTATGCAGTTCTTCCAAGCCTTCTCCATTGTCAGTGCTCTAGGTTACCTTTCACTCCCTTTACGAGTCCCTCGCTGATCACACCCACGCGGATCTCAACTTCCTTCATCTCAGGGAACATACAGTGTCTCTCTCATCTGAGCTCTTATCTACATACTCTAGCTCAGCCTGAGATGTTTTTTCTTCTCTCCTTTGCCTCACAAACATTCTTGTTGTTGACACTCAAGGTGATGGCTAGCTTCACCTGAAGTCGTCCCTCAGCACTCCCGCCTTCCGCTCCTAATTACCAGCCAGAGTGCGAGTGTCCTGACCCTTCTTGCACGGCACCATCTGTGTGTGAGAGCCTAGCAAGGATCCCCCTCTTCGCTAGTGTTTCTGCCTCTTCTGTCTCATTTCCAATAGGCAGCTAATCCTGTTCAACCCTTCACCGCTGACACTCAGCCCTGGGAAATGTTTGGATAAATAAAGACGTTCAACTATATTTGATTAAATAATGAATGAATGAACGCACACAATAAATGCATATAAAGAAATTAATTACTATACTGTTATATATATCAAATATTTACCAATGCATACAAATCAATTATTTATAGGTACCAATAAATCAAATAATTATATGGATGGATTAATCAGCTTTTGTTTTTAACCAATGTAAGGGCATCAGGTCACTTAGTAAATGTATCTATTTTGCTGGTAATGTGCACATTTATTCCTTGCTGTTTGGCTGCATCATAGATTGTCGTAGTCTGAGCTATTGAAATCTACCAGCCAAAGACCGTGAGGACACTTCTATGTGGCTCAGAATGAAGTTTATTCGGCCTGGTGCAGGAAGGAGACTCCTTAGCAGAGGGATCCTGGAGGCCTCAATGAGAAGAGTTGAGGTAAAGCTTTGGAGAGGGTTTGGGCTTCTGCAGGGTGATCCTCGAGGGCTTTAATACATGGGATCATTTCAGAATTGGGTGCTGTGTGAAAGCAGGGCCAATTTAGGGATTGGCTCTCTTCCCAGTTCTCTCTAGGTAGTGAGAGGATCAAAGCAATGGAGAAGAGTCACAGGTACAATGCAGTAGTCACTGGGTTCTTGCTCAGCTGTCGTGATTGTAGCATGTCCTCGTCTCTGTTCCGTTTCAGGCACGGCCACAGGTGCACTTCACATGCCATTGTTGGCATTTTGTGTGTGGCTTATCACAGCCTAACTCACACTGCCTGCTGTAGGTGCAGTTTTCACCTTTTGAGCTATTTACTTACTGCTGTCCATTTAGTTTTCCCCACTGTATAATTCTATGATGTAATATACTAAGTACTATTATGAATAAACCTTTTGTAAAAATAACAAAATCCCTGATATGGCTGCTAGAATGAAAGATGTGGTCAATTTTCTTTGGTCTCTTCTACTGTCATATTTTTCTTCCCAATTGAAATACAGCAGTTTGAAATATCAATGGTAATATATGATAGTGTACTATGGTTATTTAAAAATTTGATTATTTGATAAGTAAAAAGGAATCCAATTTTTAACTTAATTTGAGTTTCTATAATTATTTGTAAGGTTGAATTTTTAAAAAATGTGTCTTTAGTGTTTACATTTCCTATTTTTGAAGTATGTGTTCTTGTTCTATCTCAATCGAGATTATGTTTCTTATTGAAACCATGTTAGCTCTTCAAGTAGTAATTTCAGAATACTTTTACAGTTCAGTCTAAACGTAGTTTTCAGTTTCTCACTCATTTGTGAAAGCCTAAAGAAAATCTCAGAGATTAGAATAGTGTATACTGGAGGCAGGGAAGGATAGGGAGGAAAGGTAAAGATACCGAGAGTTTGAATAACAGGTAATAATATACAGTTAGATGAGAGGAAATAGTTCTAGCCTTCTGCAGCAGAGCAGGGTAAATGTAACATATGGAAATTCAGTGTACACTAAAAAATCTTTAGAAAAAACTATCCAGAGTTTTCCCACACACAGAAATAATAAATGTTGAGGTAAAATGCTAATTATGCTAATTTGATCATTATACTTTGTATACATGTATCAAATTTTCATATCTTGCCCCACAGATATATACAAATATTATGGGTCAATTAAAAAGGAAAATAATGTTTAGCATACTAAAATTTATATAGTTCAGCAGATCTTCTCCTTTGTGCCTTCTACGCCCCTCTTATTTTCATACATTATTTCAGTTGACCAAAGGGATTCTACTATTAAACTTCCCTACTTAGTCTATCTGAAATTATTTTGGGTCATAGTGAGAAAAAAATTTCTAAAATATTAACATTATATATTTTATTATGCATTCAAATTATCAACAGATATTTTGATCATTTTTAAAACAAAAGTAGCATCTTTGGATAGTTGAATATAGTTTTCGATATTAAAAACAGTATGTAAAAATTTTGGAAATGATGTTTTCCTAGACAAAATCTTAAATAATTTCTTCATTTAAATTTCCAAAATAAGATATCTATTTTGCTTTAAGCTGTGAAATTTGTGATGTTTTGTTACTCAACAATAGGCATGTATTAGACTTCTATTTTCCCAAATATTTTTGGTTGGAACTTCATATAATACATAAAGACAATTTCTTGAAAGAAAATGTGTCACCAGTGTATATGAGTTTTGTTTGTATAATCTTGGTTTTAAATTAGAGTGATAAAATTCTAGATGTTGTTTATTCTAAAAATGTACACAGGTAAATCAGAATTTCTGAAGTTTAGTATTTAACTTCTGAGTCTTTTCCTAATTAACTCAGAAAATAAAGTGAATATAAATGGAAGACAACCCTAAAATGACTTGTAATTATTCCTTTATCAAAGTGTCTTGTATTAACTTTTATATCTGATTGCAGCTTTGAGGTCAAAAGTACTTATTCTGTGTACTCAATGAAATGCATGCTTAGAATTGGTGAGACATATTAAATATTATTTTAAATATTGAAACCAAATGTCCTTTAATACACATATCAACACCATGCATATTTTGTAGGTAAAAATGTAATTTTATACATTAATCATGTATAGATATTAAATATCTAGGGCTTTGAAAAATGTAAACAATTGCTTTTCCTCTGATCTTGAACCCTAACCCCCAACAGAATGCCCACCTTTGAATGTGACATGTTTTATTCATTTGTAACAATCTTGTGGCATCAATCATACTCTGCAGCTAGCGACTGCAGCCATTATGTTGCTCTGTGCTTTCTCGGTAATTATTTCTCAAGCCTTTCCCTAAGTACTTCATAAAACATTTTTAATGCCACTATATGGAAACAGATGTAAATAAATTCCATTTTCAAGGGCTTTTAAAAAATATGGGTCTATTTTAGTTTGCAGTTAATGTTTTATTATTAATTTTATCAGAGAGCAAAATACAATTCCTTTCTGTATTAAAGATAAGGATTTCGATGTTGCAATCTAGGAAAAAAACGTACTGTAGCAGTGCAGCTTTTCTTTCTTTCTTTTCTTCTTCTTTTTTTTTGGCATGGGGATGGGAGGAAGCGACCAACACCCCCTTTCCCACATGGTTCAACTTTCCTGTCTGTTTTTCCATTATTCCATTAAGATCATGATTAATGGAAGCTCTCCTGAATTTCAAATATTTTGAAATCTGGCCAAGACCTATTCGGAGGCTAAATTGAAAACAAATAACAATAAAAATAAGGTGATGCAGGCTTTTAGTCTTTAGCGAAACCATCACTGTGATCTTTGTACCACTGCTACAGAAGAGGACAACATTTCACATTTCTGGCATTGTTACTGACAACACGGCAACTGAAAGCAAGCATGAATTTCTGGGAGTAGCATTAGGGTACAAGACTCCTGCTGAGCGCACCAGTTCCTTGCTCTGCACAGCTGCCTTCTCAGCTGGGGGTTTGAAATCAGCACTGGGAGAAAAGACCGAAATGACCATGACGCATGTGCCTCTCTATGAGAAAAGGTAATGTTCAATTAACGCTCCAGCCTTCCGACTTCTAGCTGATGCTTTCCTATTGTTTGTTCATTTGTATATTTTCTCTGGATCTTTTTTTTCTTTCATTTTCCTGGAATAAAATGCTTGAATTAAAAACGTCTTCGTGTTTGCCCTTATACAAATAGTACATTGCACTGCTCAAGGCTTTATTAGTGTCAGTAAGAATAGTGCATATATTTGCACTCCCAGGGTATTGACAAGGCTCTGCTCAACTAGATACATTTGCACGCACCATCATAGCAATACAACAAGTGAAAAAGAAGAGCCTGTATTAAAAGTGTTTCTATAATGCAGTAAATAACTTGCTGAGAATTTACATATTTACATCATCTGCTGCTTTGTTTGTAAAATTGTGTGAACCAGGCTGTTAATGGCCAGCTCTGCTTTAAAGATAGTTTGAGTAATAGGGAAAAATGGTAATTGTCAATAAAGCCATGTGTTTTTATGTTTTCTAGACATAAAAGATAATATTATCTTCATTTTAATTGTTAAAAAATTTATCTGGATTCTATAGATAAAATTTTAAAATTTATAGAATCCTAGTCTTCATAGGGTTATTTGATTCTGCTTCTTAGATAAGAACTCCTAGGGTTCTTGGGAGTATCCTTTTATTCTCTTTGGCAATAGTTTATCTTCCTAGCCTAGAATGATCTGACAAAATGCTTCATGATGTACTTGTGCATGTGTGTATTTCTGTGGATGGTTAACTCTGTCTTACGAATTTCTTCTGAGATTTCATTAGCATTTTGGTTGGAAAACTGAATTCTCTTGAACTTCATTCGTAGCTTTAATAATGAAGTTGAGGGGTTGGCTATTCATGGGAAGTGCGCCAACTACTTGGACTGAAATAAATATTGATTTCCATCACTCTGATAGTCACTCCATATAAATCATTTTATAAACATTTTTATGTGTCAGCCTCTGGGCTAGACAAGAGAGGCAAAAGCTAAGTATGTGAAAAAAAAGCGCTAAATATGTGGTTCACACTCATGCCATTACTAATTTAATTCTTTTGATCAATTAGTTATTTCTGACAGATATGATGTTTAACTCTATTGTTATGCTACCTATGTTGCTGTAGCTTTGCAGAATTCATTGAGTTTGACCTTAAAGTGGAATAATTTTTTCCTGCTAGGTGATGGATCTATAATAAATTAAGGTTTACCTACTCGGAAACAATGCATTTAGTGAATGACTATTTTGTACCGGTCACTGGTGTAAACATTAGGCATACAATGGCCACCAGGACTTCGAGAGCCTCTACCCTCATGGAACTTATGTTCTAGCAGGATGGCGGGAGGTAGAGGTAGCATAGCCTTCCATCCTTGTTTTCTGAAGGATGAGGAAGCAGTTGTAGTCTAGAAATTGAAGCTGCTGATACCATGGAAATTCATGAAGCCTGCTTGGGTTACATATTGTAGGACACTGACCCAAAGGAAAAAAAAAAGAGCTTCTTCAGATACTCATAAGGACTTTCAGAACAGTCAGAAGCAATTTCAAACAGCAAATAACTTGTAATAGTCCTTCCAAAGGCTGCGTTAAAGAAACTGTGTGAACAAATTATTTACACTGTTCATACAGTGTAGTGATCTTAAACTCTGTGTATTCAAAGTTGGGTCAATTTTCATAGCAGTTGCTAACCTGGTGCTTTCCCTTGACTTAACAATTGGCACAACATAGAGGCTCTATATGTTTTCTGCTACTGCTACATACTCCCTGTTGGTCTGCTTTGGCTACTACTGACACTGAATACTGACACAGTGTGCTACTGATACCCATCACTGAAGGAATTTGGAAAGCATTAAAATGTGGCTTCATATCACTTCTATTTCTCATTTTGAATACTTGATTTTTCTGTTTTAAGATTGCAGTGGAATACGTTTATCCTGTTTTAATCCTTCCTTCCCTCTTGCATTCCACCTTTTGTCATCTGTCTATTGTCTGTTATCTATCTTCAAATAAACATCTATTCCTTTTAGCTCATCTTCATGTATTTCAAATCCATTTCTCCATTATCAGTTGAAAAAACTAAGTTCTCATGTTACCTTGCAGGGAGAGTGACCATATGGTTTAGTCATGGAGAATGAGACCTGAGCATAAATTTGCTTAGACCTCTATGAAGGATTTGGGTTTATGTAACCTGAAGACTGGCACGACCCTTTCTCCTCTCTTTCCAGTTTGCATTCTGGGGTACTGAACATGATTGAATCTACATTGTGACCTTGAGGAGTCAATCATGAGAGATCCTCTAGGTAATTTCAGAAATACTAGCCCCAAGCTGGTCAAACCACTGAACCAACGCTTGTTGCTTCTCTCAAGACTACTTCCTTTTAAATTTTTAATTGGCACATAATAACTGTATATTCATAAGGGATACAGCTTGAAATTATGATGTACCTGTGTCATAAAAATTATTCAGTGTTTAATAAGCCACTCTAGATGATATTTTCTGTTATTTTCAGTTGAGAGCATTCTTAACTGATGCTATAGACATACCCCAAATAATCAAGCTTGTTAGGGATTGTTGAAGTTAGATAATATGTTATAAAATAAAACACTTAATGATGAAGGCAAAATGCAATTCTTATTTTGAAGAAACTTATGTAAACATTTGTAACTAAACAGCATAGGTCTGTTTCTTATATTTTTTGGTGTTCATTTTCTTATACAAAAATGAAGAGTTGCATTATTTCTTAGGTCCATTGCAGAACTAAATTTCAGACTATTTGGGTAAAATGTACTTTAAATCCAAGCGTTCATAATAGTACCCGTCAAATAATATTTTAATATTGATATGCCATGAATGCTTTGTATGTGAAAAACCTATTGCACTTTTCCTGTTCATTCTTGGAATTTCATATGCTCTACATTGAGAAAGCTGGGTTATTTGATTGAGCCTTTTGATATATCACATCCCACTCTAAAAACTACTTTATTCAGTTATTTGCATTAAATAATGTCTGGAAGCATCTCTTAGGAAGATTTTTTTTAGCAAAATTTTATACAATGTCAATAATTTTTATGAGCATAAAATCAAGACAATATAATGTCATTACTATGGATATATGTCTGATGTATTAGATTTTCCACCCACTTTGTGATGTGACTGGAGAGTTTTATGAAACTGCTGTAAAGAGATTTCATGAAGATCAAGAAAAATCTCTCCAAACTGCTCTTGGGAGGCAAAAAGCCACACAAATAAAATGCTACTATACTGTTTAAACATATGAATGTGAATGAAAGGAGGAATTGGTTATAAACAATATTAATTTTAAGGTTTATCTATTAGGCAGCTTTCTTATCGCTGGACTAATACCCGAGGCTTTTGACTTAAAGAAAGAGAGGTTTCATTTGGCTTATGGTTTCAGTCCATGCTCAGCTGGTCCTAAGGGAGAGCATCATGGGAGAAGGGTGTGGGGGAATGAAAGTGCTCAGATTATGGTGGCTGGGAAGCAGAGCAGGGGAACAGTGTCCAAGAAGAAAGAGTCAGGGACCAGATGCGGACCCCAAGGTCACACTCCATGACCCATCTAGACACATGCAGAGATGTGTTTTACTCATTCCTTAGGTGGCTTCCAAGACAATCAAGTAGAAAAGGAAGCTTTACTCTCCTGGTCCATTATGCTTTTCCATTTCATCCTGCAGCAACGTGGGACTCCAATATGGCTACCTACCACTGCCAGTTGCTCCAAGGAGCACTTTTTTGGCAGTAATATGTTAATGCTTAATTCCGATCCATAATTTGCTTGATGTTAGAAAGTGAGATGTGCAAAGAAGCCATTACTGGGAATAGAAAAATAAGTAAAACAGAGACCAAACAGAAAGCAGAGAATTTTTAAGAACCCTTTACAACAGAAAATGGGAAAAGAAGGCTGGGGTGGGGGAAGGCACGAAGCGTGTGTATGGGCACACACGGACACACAGACTGAGGTGATGAGAAAAGGAGAATGAAAAACATCTCCGCATAGAGGTCTTGCCCTCTTTATGAGATGAGGAAGCTGTTGCCTGATAATTATTACTACCTTTTGTTTTCTAGAGTAATGTGCTATCCTTGAGCTAGAGAGCAGATCGGTACTTAAAAACCAGAGGTTGTTGCTTTCTTTGAAACAACATAGCATCTCTGGGTGGTAGCTGAGTACAAAACAAACACAGAAGCCTTTTCTCTACACACCGGAAGCAGTCATCCCTGTTGCCAAGGAGACATCCTCACTGGACCAGGGTCACCTTTGGAAACAATCACAAGACTTCTAAAGCAGATCAATAGAGAAATGCTAAGGCCTCTAGTTCGTAACTGACATTGCCTCTTATTTAAAATGTCATTTCAGCAAACACTTGTTCATTTCATTACCATACAGTGGGGAGTAGCAATACAAACTTGAATGTATAATCAGTTAAGCTTAGTGTTATTTATTTATTTATCTATTCATTTTTGTTTTTCATTTTTGTTTGGTGGAACTGCTCTAAGTACAGGGATGTTCAGGGTCACTGCCTGGAAATGGACCAACATTCAGTTTTCAAAAGAGAAGCTCCCTTTAAGACTTCATTGAAAGAAGATTCTATTCTTTATTGTATTTTATCTATATTATTTCAGTTCTCACTTTCGTTTCTGAAAGTGTTTTGTCATATATCAGAATTGAACAAATTTTGTGTCAATAGGACAAAATTCCATTCCCACATTAACTTACTCTTTCCTTCTGTTATCAGATAGTGGCGATTTCATATTGCGTGCCCACATTCAAAGTCTACCAGACTCAAGCTGAAGAACAGGCAGTTTGTGAAATGAACAATGCGATCACTTGCAGAGGGGACGTGGTGAAATGTTCATCATCTAAAGCAACAATTCCTCCCAGGGAGGTGAGGAAATGACAGGTGTTGGCCTTGTGGGGTGGATCCATCCTTGAAGACAGAAACAACAGCCAATGTAAGAGCAGAGTGGAAAGAGTAGATTGCAGTGGATTCTGTTGCATGAAGTTCAGATGTACTGGGAGAGATGTTTAGAGATGGGGTTGGTCAACAACACTGGGCCTCGACCATGAATGTGCCTATGTCACTTAAAAAATTATACTTCTTACTACTCCTTTTGCAGAGCTTTCCTGTAGGTTTACAATAATTGGTATTACTTAATGCTGCAATACCAGAACTTTAACAGCTTGATATATTCCTTTTTTTGTTCCTTTGGCAATCTAGAATTAGTCCCACATACCTATATTTTTTCATAGGGCTTATGGGATTGTAATTTCAGGGGTTGTTTATCATTTACAGCAAGAACTGGAGTCTAAGAATAAACACTCTTGATTTTAAAACTCACAATAATATATGTTTTGTTAGAAGATGAGTAATGCAATTTAATATGGGGTTAAGATGATTAAGTTGTTGGTATAGATCCATTTTGTGAAATCACATGCACTTTTTGTATCTGAAAATTCAAAAGGAACAAATACAGACAGTTCTCCTGTCCAGTAAAGGATTATGAGCCTCACTGAAATGTACCTTGTTATCTCTTCCTCTATAGCAGACAAGAATGACACTTTGTATACAAGAAAATGTGGAGGATGCTAGCGCTGGAGGGCTGGTGGTCTTTGGCATCATCTAGGTTAGCCACCTGTTCTAGCTGCACTTGCTGAATAAATTCAATGCTCTTGGGAGAGAGTATGCAACTGACTGGCCTGCCTTGTTACCAAGGCAACCATTTTTCTCTCTGCTCTATGACTCTGAAAGGATTTGCAAACCATCAGTGCTTCTCTGAGCAAGAGCGTGAACATTTTTCTTTTTTCTTTACTTCTTCCTTCCTTTTTACAATTTCCTAGTCAAGATGATGAAATTAATACATAACCTAACCATATTTCTTTATTCAGATAGTACACTCTCCAAGTATTTGAAAAACTTAAAGTCCAAACCTGAAAGGTACATAGAGAGATGTAAATAATAAGAAAAAATTTAAAAATAATTTGAATCTCAAACCTTTTCAAAAATTGAAAATAATTTTGAAGTAGAGTTTGTCACGGACACTGGATGTGAAAACACAGGTTCCCCGAGTTCCGTGCAAAAGGCACTGGGTAAAAAGCTGTTTTCATAAGTTATTCCAGCTATTATCTCTGTCAGCCTCTTCTCACTCTGCAGAGACAATGGAATGACATCGGGCAATGATTTAGTGAGAGCTTTTGCAGATCCATCAGATCATGAGTCCTGGGCCTAAGTTATCATTTTCTGTCTGCCAAAGGGTCCAGGAGTTGTGCAGGGGTGGCTGACTGCACTCTGTGGTGACAGCTCCAGAAATCCCTGCTCTTTTTCATCCCCAAGAGGCATCTATTCTCCAGCATACCAGTTTTCTCCGATGTATAACCCATATTTGCTGTCTTTCCTTTCCTCCTTCATAGTCTGTCCCTTCCATTAAATCGTCATGCCTTAAAATAAATTAGAAGGCCTTTCATATTGGCAAATGTTTCACTTTATTCCAGGAATTTTACATTTTCCTATTTGCTTTATTCTTCATGTTAATTTGATGTTCAGGCCATTATTTATCCTGTTTAATAGTTGTTTAGACGGAAGTCACAGGTAGTAAGGTTGATATTTAGGTTGAGTTCTAGCTTGTTCCAAAGCCATGCTTCTGTATCTGTAAAGTTCTATTTTATTATTGATCAGATAAATCCTTTCTGAATATTGAAATACTGGCAAGAAATATCAAACAAGTAGAAACTTGAAATTAAGTTTCCAGGAAGGCTCTTGTTCTATTATTACTATTACTGTTATTTTTACATGCAGAATACTGTTCCAAGCTCTGCCAAATTCACAAGAGAATGAAGGATTTGTACATATTTATCTTGGAGAATGGCTTCGTTATACAGGGCAATTCCTTCGCCAGCTCTTTTTATTATCTTTCTATGTACTAGAGAAACAGACTACAGTGGACTCTTCAACTCATCTTGTAACTAACTTGTTTCTTGTTGTTTGCAATCTAGGAAGAATATATGACCTATTGATACACACAGTATGACTGGTAGGACATCTTGAGAGATTAGGTTCATCTTTTAATTGTGAACAAACTTCCGTGCAATTAGATTTATCCTGAGTTTTTATTTTCTACTGATTTTACTTCTGCCTTCTGAGATTTCAAGTGTAGATTAGTATTTCCAAATTAATAGATTTTGAAAGATTTTTAAGATATGATCACATGGTGAGTAGACAATTTTTAAAAGTACATTTCCCAGTGTGCGCTAAAGCAGTGAAAATATTTTACTTAGTCTAGAGGCAAATGGTACTGTTTTGTTGTTGTTGTTAAGTACATGTCATTGATCTTAGCTAGATTAACACTGCACTAGAAGGTCATAAATATGCACGAAGAGCACAAGGATATTATTCTGCTAGAACACAGGGATTTGGCAAAAGTAGAAACTGCATACTTTATTTGCTGCAAGAAAGGTGAATTTGCTTTTACTCCTCCTGTTTCCAGCAGCATTTTTATGTTTGAAAGTTACTCAGAAGCATAAGGTAATTATTTGCAATCTGAAAAGGATTCTTATACAAAAGTATTGTATTTGCATTTTTAGAAACATTTTTACTGTAATATATTTGTTCCTGCCATTCTCTTCTGCAGTTGTCTAGATTGTTTGAAACACTACATCTGTGCTATAAGAGTGTATAAGTTCACTCAGTGTGTTTTCAGCAGGCATTTCTGGTGTCCCAGGATGAGGGACTCAGTTCAGTGCTGGGCCTCCTCGTGAGTGGGGTGTCACCCTCTTCTGTGAGCCCAACTCTGTGCCGGAGACCTCCAGGGCTTTCAGTGGCCCCTGCAGGTCCAGTGCTGTCACAGAGTCTAATGAGCCTGTGGATTGAGGAACACATGACAGCTTCTTTAAACAGACTCTTCCTACTGCATTCACCCAGAGTCATCCTTCCTGGCTTGCTCTGTGGACTACAGTCTCTATCTCCTGTTTTACTCTTTTCAGCCCAGTCTTTGAATGTATCCCAGAATGTATCATCTTCCCAATTATAACTTTGTGTCATCTTAGTTCTGCCTCTTCTCTTGACTATGCTGCACTGGCTAATCAGGTGATTTTACTTTGTTTTGATTCTATGGCTATTATTCTCAATGTCATCCTGGTCCATTTGTGCTGCCACTGTTTTTTTCTTTTCCCTCTGGTGGTGGAGATTGAAGCCATAGCCTTATACAAGCCAAGAAACTGCTGTACTCTGAGTTATACCCCCTAATCTAACAGTGTATTTTAATTACTTACCAGCTGGAAACAAAACTTTTAAAATTTTCTTTGCATTTTTTCCTTATCAGTGAATATTGGTTATACTGTTTAATGGGTTTCTTTTGGACAAATTTGTGTGTGCACATAGCATATTTTAATCATTTCTCCCATTACCTGTATTGTCCCACCATCTCCCTGGTTTCACTTTTTTGGGGGAGAGTTCAATGTGTATAAAGTATTTTGATCGTATCCCTCCATCATCACATGCTTTTACACCTCCTTTCCTCTTGTGGAATAATAATAATTCCGTGTTATCTATTTTTAGATTCCACATATTATGGAGAACATGTGATATTGCTCTTCCAGAGTCTGGCTTATTTATGCTCAGCATGAGTCTCCACATTCATCCATTTTCCTGCAAATAACAAAATTTTGCTCTCCTTTATGGCTAAAAAATACTCCATTGTGTATATCTGCCACATTTTCTTTATCCATTCATCTATTGATGGACACCTAGGCTTGAAGACCAAACTTTTAAACTGTTGATGTATCCATTAATTGCATGTGGCAGAGTGTATGGGAAACATTTCTTTCCCAGAGGTTCACAGGCAGGGTGTGCTTATATCATAGCCACGCTCAATCAAATGTCACTGCTCACCGGTAGGTATCTGTACACTTTTACTGAGCATCTCTGTAATGGCTTCAGCCAAGCTGTATGATGCCAAGCGGAGGCCATAGCGCCAATGAGGAGAGGAACTGGGCTCTCATTCACAGAAAACAGCAGCCACTTTCCAGCTACTGGCCGTGAGCATGTTCCTGGGGTTGAGATTTAGTTTTTGGTTGCATAAATATAAATTTTAAACACCACCTTTTCACATAAAAGGTATCATCTTGAAAGTATTGATTCCTTCCTGCTGTGTTCTCAGTAATTTTGAGACTTTTCCATGTACTCAAGGCACAAAAGAAATTCAGTAACAGGAACTGAGAATCCAAATTAAGTGCCCAGAAGGAAGGAAGCCAAGGGTCTTCTGAGAGGTCAGAAGCAACCACCCACGAAGATATGGATGTAATGGATTCTACTCTTTTTGCCTTAATTTTTTTTTTTTGCCTCTGTTTGCTCCCGGTCTACTTTATAAATTCTGAAGTGAGAATATAGATTTAGTTTGGATCACATATCTTCAGACTTGACGCAAGGAACCATGGCCAAAGAGACTGGTGGACTTGACTCTGGAAGAGTCATTACAAGTGTTTGAGCCACCCCAGTTTGTGTTCCATGATTATACTTGTCCCTTTTTAATTTCCTTGAAAGAACTCAGTTTCCAAATAAAAGTGTCTTGTATTTCTTTGCTTTTCCTTATAGCTGATATTGTTTTGCCATGAATTTCGTTAAAGTTTCAATGATCTTGATTTTTCTTGAAGATGATTCTGTTCTTTACCTGTTTATATGAGCTCAAACTTCCCATGATACAACTCATCGACTATAGCATTATGTCCTGGGAGAAATCCTGTTCAGTTTTCCAGCAGCACTTCAGTGGGTCCGTGACAAACTGAATCATGAGAGTATAGGGTATAAGAAAATGTATGGAGGTACAAGAGCTATAGTGCTTTAGGGGACCTTACAAGTATAGTATCAATGCCCCATAATGAATGGAACTATGA